GACGACCCCGGCCTGGACTCCGCTTCGTCCATGGTGAAAGCCGATTCGGCGATTGACAGCGCGAAGTTGATGTATGTCCTCTTTTGGAAGGTAGTTTCGCTTTCACAATGAAACACACAGCATCTCCACAACATGGAGGCGGCAGCGGCAACAATACTACAGCGAGAATAAAAGTTACGCTTTCTTTCTTTGCGTGAACATTTGGGCGGCGTTATGCAACTCTTCCCACATCTTGACGTATGTTTAAACGAGGCGTTTTAGGAGGGCATGGACAATTCTTAACTTTTATAAAGATTATCTCTTTGGATTTGAGACTTTAGTCTTTGCAACTTTACAGATCTTCTTTATGCACCAAGAGCTTGTAACACTCCAAAGAGAAAGGAAAAATTGAAATAGCATCATATGACCCCTTTAAACAAAGCAAAACCAATGTTACACCGTGTCTACACCGGACGCGAGCGGCGCGACAAAATACTATAGAACTCATTATAATCAGTGATGCTGTCTACACTATATAGATATATATACATATCTATGGTCTACAATGGATGCGCGGCACGACACGACAAAAATTCTCGACAGAAAACTGCTGCTGCGTTCTATTCATGATGTATTGACACAAATTTCAAATGATTTTCAACGGTCGCTTTGTCGCGTCCAGTGTATTAGACAGACTTTAGCTGTTGCGGCGCAGACACGGTGTTACTCACCTATCGAGAAAAAACAAAGCAACCTCGGCGCCCGATCGCAGGCCTTCCACTCGAGTTCTCTCCAGCGCTGGAAATCTGATCCGATATTTACACGGGTCCTACTTCTTGCCTTATCGCCTTAAGTCTTCGTTTGTTCCGCAGATGTTTTCCTCTTTTGTTTTTTATCCCCCATCTCTATCTTTCTGTCGCTCAGCTAATGTCCGTCCTGTGCACTGAACGCTCTCTCCTCCACATCATGAGTAGACACACCCCTTACTGCTGATTGGCTACAAGTTTGTTTTGGTACTCGGCCCGACTCAGTTTTCTAAAGCGTTTTTGAAAAAACACATACCCCACCTTTAACACAATTGTGTATTTTCGTAAATATTTATATACCATTGCCACCATTTGCCATGTGCATGAGAGTGATTTCAGTAATTATACAAAAAAAAAAAAAAAAGTTGAAGGTAATTGTACGCGTAATATCAAAATACTAATTACATAAATATACATAATGATTGTAGGTGGGTTTTCACTGCAATACACACACCAAAGAAAAAAAAATATTACTACAATATTTGGAAAAACAGCAGCAAAGTAATCTATGCTACAAAAATCTGAAAAAGTAATGCAGTGAAACACTGATGGGACTGGAGAATGTATTTATACTACAGTGAAGGATTGATTTACCTGGTAGATGAAACCACTCATTCGAGGACTAGCAGACAACATAAGAAGTATGTGAGGAAACAGCAAAAGGTATCGCTCATTCTTCTCCTGATGAAGCAGAATATTACAATAAAGATTTAATTTTAAGTTTAGCATTTTCAGTATACTGAATTCAAAATCAGTCAATTAAAATGTAAGAAACAACATATATAATATAAATAACAAAAGATTGCTCTTAAACCAATTTTTATTCATCTTAAACCTGGGGTCCATGGAGAACTTATAAAACAATTAGATTTTTGAAATCTGATGTTTCCAACTATAAATTAACTTAAATTTAGCTTTTATTTTTAAATACTGGAAGTCCCTGATGGTTGGCTGAGTGCTGAAAACCCCTAAACTACATTGTAACATTCACCTCAGTGCCGTGGTTCTGGATGAGGACTTGAGACATGTAGAGGACAGAACCCAGGGTCTTAATTCCTTCCCCTTCCCAGCCCCGAATAGACTCCATCAGAATCTGCAGCTCAAGCTCCTTCCTCTTCCTCACTTCCTGACACTGGGCCTGAAGACACAACAAACAAACAAACATGCACACAAATAAGCCCAGCATCCCATTCGGAAAGATAACATAACTCAAACAAACAGCTCATCATCATTTCACACATCATTCATCCTTTTTTTTTACTGGTGAAAAATAAAGAAAATCGATGATGTTGACCCTATAATACTCACTGAGAGATTTTTAAATACTGTCATGCTCTTCTGAATGTCTGGATAATCTGGATGAAGTGCCTGGGCAGAACAAAGGAAGTGAGTTTGAGTGAGTTAAACTGGTATTATACACACACACACTTTATAGTTTCATTACATAACCAGAATACTTACACTACCATTAAAAATGTGATGTCAGTAAGCTTTTTAAAAATAAATTAATAATTTCATTCAGCAAGGAAGCATTAAATTATTTAAAAGTGCCAGTGAAGACATTTATAATGTAATTATAACAAAACATTTCTATTTCTACTGCTGTTCTTTTGAACTTTCTATTCATCAAAGAATCCTGAATGTATCATGGTTTCAACAAAGTAGCACAACTGTTTTGAAAATTGATAATAATAATAATAATAATAATAAGTGTTTCTTGAAAACCAAATCACCATATTAGAATGATTTCTGAAGGATCATGTGACATTGAAGACTGGAGTAGTTTGCCATCACATGAATAAATTACATTTTAAAATGTATTAAAATAGAACAGCCTTGGCGAGCATTAGAGACTTCTTTCAAAAACATAAAACAACCTGAAAAACCAACCCCAAATCTTCTGAATGGTAGTGTACATTTTACTCATCTTAGCCAAAACATTTTGACAACTAGGGCAGTTCGGTACCTCCATGTGCCGTTCCATCTCTTTCAGTAGTGTGGGGTATTTCTCCAGTCTCAGGAAGGGTTTGCTGAGGCCCGTGGTGAGTGTGAGGATTCCAGGGCTGTTCGCACCTTTACTTTCCATAAACTCTCCAAATTCCTCACTGAAACATACACACACACAAACACTGATGTCATTAATGCTATTTCTGAAACTTAATGGTTAAGAATGAATGAAAAAGCATCTGCAGTGTTAATTATCTATGCACGTGTTTCTTCAAGTGTTGTGTGTAATGCGTTGTGTTAAGAACCTGTGTTGTGTGAGAACATTAACCGCAGATGGATGGTTGGAGCAGTAGGTCACATACAGACTCCTCATCTGAGGAATGAGGGACAGGAAGAAGCCTCCTATTCTCTGCTGACTCTCTGGAACTCTGCACACAACACACATCAGTTCATTTGGAAATAATAAATGTTTAATAAAAATAAAATAAATAAATAAATGTTAAAGTTGAACAGAGCTAAAAATCATATACATCTTAAAGTTCTGAGGTGTAAATCCAGATAAGTACAGTGCATTACTGGTAACTGCCACTAGATGTCAAACTGTGACAGACTGTGAGTGAGTGAATGAGAACAGGATAGGGACTCTTACTTGACGCTTTCCTCCAGTGAATGCACCAGTGTCTGCTGAAATGAGCTGATCTCCTCTAGATTTCCCATGATGTGACTGATATCTGACATGCTGAGCCTAGAGAGAAAGAGAAATGGGTACTGAACTACTATTATCTCTGGTTATGTTGGACTCCCGGCTTGGGTTCTCACCTGTCTGTGGGCTGTAATGCTCTCAGATACGTTGAGAGGAGAGTCTGCAGCTCTTTACAGTATTCTGTCTCTGTTTGTACAATATTCTGAACCACCTGTGCATTTGAGAAAAATGAACAATTTTACATTTTAAACATTATTAGTTTTATTAGTATTACTTTGCAACAGTGTAATGATATAATTAGATACACACCAGACTCAGTGTTGTTCAAATGTTATGCATCTATACTATCATGTATGTGTATATATATATATATATATATATATATATATATATATATATATATATATA